GAGGAGTGAGGGTTCTTTGCCCCAGGTAGAAAGAAGCAGGCCTCCCAAGGTTCCTGCGCAGGATACGGAGTGACAGCACCAAACACTGTGATTTTAAATTAGCAGTTGCTGCTACTTCTCCCATTATCGTCACCACTGCCTTGACTGCCACCATGAACAATGGCAGCTGTCTTTTATTACACCATTATTTCAGGCCAAGAGATTTATTCACCTCATCTTACTTAATCAGCCTTAAAACTTTATGAGGGTAGGTATTATTACTCCTGTTTTCCAGGTGAAAAAATAGGCTTAGAGCTGCCAAGTGACTTGTCTGCTGTCTTCCAGCTGGGAATATCTGTCTGACTCCAGCCCCTGTGCTTACTGTGCTTTACTGTCTCCTTGAGCCATTTTTTCCATATTTGTAAACTGGAGATAATATTTGTACTCTCTACCGGTGGAGTAGCACTTTTCAAATTTTAAGTCATGGCACATTAGGGGTGTGTGAAACTGAATTAGGATGGAATAGAATAGAAAATATCAACATTCATCACCCTTACTATTCCTGAAATTTTTGTTTCTGGTTTGTGTGTGTGTCTTTCTGTTTATGTATATATGTATGCATGTCCTAGTGAAATGTTATGTAGGAAAATGTATTCCCTACCATGGGACATTGTCAGAAAGTTGCAGAGCTGCTGCGTTCTTTGAGATATCATGAAGGTCGAATAAACATAAAACGTAGTTGCTGAGCTCCTTAGAAACTCTAAAACACCCTGCCAGTGTAAATTAGGATCATTATTTAACCCTGGAACCTGAAGCACGGCATGGCAGGTCATTGTCGCTGTGCTGTTCTACCAGCCATGTGGTCTATTGCAGGAAGTGCTAACCTGTCACCACATTGTGTCCAGTGGAGCCAGGACTTAGCTTTGACACTCCTTCCTTGACACAGCACTCCAGACCTCAAGATGGAAGCTATTTGCAAACCCAGCAATAGGCTTATGTTTTGTTGGCAGACATCAGGCCCAGTCTGTGGTTATAAAGCACTGCTTGGCACTTCCAGAGTCATGGCTCTCATTTAGACAAAGGAAAACAGATGTGATCCCTATAACAGCACAGGGGCACTGCATTACAAGCCCCAAAGGGGTTGACTTCTCTCTCCTCCTCTCATAACACTCCCACCATCATCCTCATCTGGAAATGATTTACCTCCTTCTGCCTCTCAGAGGTCATCGGACCAATCCAGAGTCCCCACCCATGTCCCCTTACAGAAAGGTGCAAGAGACCCCTCCGCCAAGGCCATTTTCCTTGGAACATGCTCTTTCCTCATTAATTGTATTTCATGAGGGAACTGCTGGTAACATGGGGTGCCAGTCCCCCAACAACTGCCCTGAAGGCATGCTTTTAAGGAGATACACTGCTTTTCAGCTAATGTAGCAAACTCAGTGGTCACAAAAGGAACTGTGTCTCCCCCCGGTTGAAATCACATGTGTAACTCTGTTTCTGCAACCTGCAATAAAGGAAGCCTATAGAATTGGCAGTTCTTGCAGAAGGCACCACAGAAAAGTCCATGTCGACCTAGGGATCTGAAAGGCATGTCAGAGACTCCTTCAGTGGAATGTTCAATGCACAAGAAACTTTTGTGTATGGATTTTAAGTCAAGACTCAACATGACATTCTGTACTACGTGAGGAAGAGCTCAAGCAGCTCAATTACCCACCCACAAAGTAAGCTCTTGGTGTTTTACAGACCTCACTAATGAATGAGTCCCGTGGCCTCTGCTGGACTAGCCTTCCCAGTGCTCTGCCAGCCTGCCTCCCACACACCTGTAAATTTGTCAAGCTATAATGGATGGCTGGTGCCAGTAGAGGCTGAGGTCTATGCCTCTCTCCCCAGGATACAGAGAGATCTCAAGCCATTAATAATTCATTCTAGAGTAATGAACATAGCCATATGAACTTGTGAGCAGTAATAATCAAGTGACAGATCAATTTATTACTTCAGTATGCCAAAAGATAATGGTAGTCAGTCTACAAAAGTTAAAACTTTCCCCCCAAAAAAGTTTCATAAGCCTTAGATCAATGTGTTTTTTAAGTTCTAAAATAAAACAGATTTTTAAAAAGGAAATGAATTATGTTGGGTAATGGCCTCAAGCCTTTTTATATTCAGAATTGCTTATCTAGAATTACTGTACCTTTTTTCCCAATGCCTTTGGGCACTGGGGCCTGCAAATTAGAGTAACTGTTATTCATTAATTAAATCTAAGAAATGAAACACAACTCCAGGCTTTGAAAAAGGAGGTTGGAATAGTTGAGATATATTCCCCTCCAAAAAATCATCGATAATAATTGGAGGTTTTATGCGTAAGTAGCTGGATTGGGAACAGTTGTTTTATGCCTACCCAGACACATCCCATTTAACACCTCATGAGTATTCGTTGGACTTCTCCTGGGCCAGGCACTGTGCTCAGTGGGGGTGTTACCACTTAAAATAAGCACAGTCTCTATCCTAAGACAGTGGAGAGACATTACTAACATGTAATAAAGATAATACTTCTGCCTTCATTGAGAGGCAGAGGATTGGGGAAAGACTGGACAGAGACTGCAGAAAGGAAGGGGGCCATTTGAGAAGAATAAGAGAACATTCTAGGCAGTGGAATGACAAAGGCAGATAGGTGTGAAAGTGGGGAGAGGATGGGTAGTAAATTGCTGTAATAATAATCACTATGTTTCCCACACATTACCATATTTAATGTGCACAGCCACCTCATCAAGTAAACATATTATTCACCTCCCCTCCCCTTCAAAGCTTAGACGTTGAGTCGCTTGTCCAGGGACCTAGAGCTGGGAGGTGGCAGAGGAGGGCTTAGAGGTGAGTTGGGAAAGGAGTCTGGGCTTTACATTAAAGACAATGGAGCCCATCAAGGGTTTATAATCATTATCAGAACAGTCAAACAATAGCAGCATTGCTAAATACTTTACACACACCGTGTCATTGTGTTCTGTCCCAACAGCCCAGTGAGGTTTGAGGCCTTTGTAGTTGTCAGCAGAGGAATGACTTGATCAAGGCTGAGTTATAGAAGTAACTGGTGGTGGCAGTCAGGATACAGTGGACCCTCGAGATGCTAGTCAGGGATCCTAGTTAGGAGGCTGTTGGTTTAGTCAGATGTAGTGTTGATGGTAAAAAAGTGATCATCATCCAAAGCATATGTTTTTATATCGGTCTCCAATTTAAAAGCACTTTCATACATAAATAGCTTGTTGACTCATTTGCACAAGAGACTTTCGTGGCCGGAGGGGTAAGTAATGACTTCGCTCATTTGGGAGGGAGAAGTATAAGGGCACGGAATTCACTTCCTGCACACAGGAGCCCATGATGAAAGGAGTGATGTTACAAGCAGCTTGTAAATGGGCATACTTGCTGATTGACTGAGTTACAGAACCAAAGTCTTTCCCCTTGCTGGGTAAGAACCTGACCCTCTGCATTGAATGTGAGACAGAAATGTGATACAGCTCTGGGTAGATGGGAAGCTATGTAAGTAAAATCAAGACCTTCCACTAGAACTCAAAAAATGTTTGCAAAATACTTTTATGTGGACCAGAAACAGGACAGTATATCAGTGGCAACTCTCCTTGCTTAGCAGTCAAAAGGCAAGTTCTCTTTGTATCTGGCTGGTTCCACAGTTAAAAGTTTCACGGACCTAACCACCCCCTGCCCCTTTCAGAGGAGAAGGTTTTTTTATGACATTAGACTTTTAGCCCTAGAAAATTATAGAAAAGTCCACATCTGCTGATAAAATTGGTTGATGTAGTAATTTCAGTGAAGGCTCAGTTTCACCACCAGCACTTTAAGGCAGTAGAACGTCTTCTCCTCCTACAAAATAGAAGTATTCAAGAGAAACAGTGCAGGCATTTATAGAATTGTGTGAAAAAATACTCTGTATAAATAGCACTAAATGCTAGGGAGGTATGTCTGTGCAAACTGCTATCTCTGTCCAATTTCTCTCTAGTTTCTAGTAATGAATAGTTTCCTTTTTCTAACAGGTGATTTAGGGAAGCCCCTAATATTTTCTTAACAATACTAAATTGGGCTTAACTTTTAACTTATTTGTTGTCAATAGATCATTTGTGTATTTTTAAACACAGGGCCAGCAAATGAACAATTAAGTTTTGTGGCTAGGTCACAGTTTGGAGTTCAGATATATGTTTTGAGTACTGTTTATCCAAAAATATGTATATGTATTTAGCAGATCACTTAGATCCAGCTACTGCTGACCCTGTGTGTTCGTGAGATTTTGAGTATAAGTGACAGGATAAACACAGCCACATGGATACACAGTAGTGCACTTTTATTTCTGTTTATGCCGTATGTGTTGCTTAATGTAAGCCACATGTTTAATGCAATGGGGTTTAATACTCTGAGCCTAAAGTGCTGAATTTCCTAAGATCTATTAGTCTTAAAAATTAGGTCTTGTTTCGTGCCTGTATTTGCAAATGTATTAAAGCCATCAAGAGTTTTTATATTTGCACTAGAGAAAATGCTAAAGATCACAGTGGTTTAAGCAACAGCCAAGTATACAACAGCCAAGTATAAAAAGCTGAGATATGATAAAAAGTAATTTAAAAAATTCTGTACCTCCTAAATGAAAACTCTACCTCGAATGGTGGTTTTTATAAAAGAGATGAGCAGTTAGCTGGATTTGCAGAACAGGGATTCAGATGTGCAAAGTTTTACATTTTGGAGGGCAGCTGCTTTGGTTGCTTGGTTGGTTGGTGGTTGGTAGGCAAAACAGAATTGGGTAAAGGAGTGTCATGTCCTGGAAGAGCAAAATAGCCAGAATACTGAAGATTTCTGAAAACTTTGGGGGACAAAAATACAAGTAGAGAAGTCTCTCTTTGGACTCAAAGACATCCTAAGACGTCCCAGAGTCTGGCTCCTATCGGATGAGGAGTCTGAAGATAGGGAAGTCAGCTATCTATTTGTACTGTCTTTCTCTCATTTGTGCCTTTTCTTTTCCTTCCTCCCAGTGTTGCTAACAACCACAAGCAGAATCTGATGACAGTGGCAAACCTCGGCGTCGTGTTTGGACCCACCCTGCTGCGTCCTCAGGAAGAAACAGTAGCAGCCATCATGGACATCAAGTTTCAGAACATTGTTATTGAGATCCTAATAGAAAATCACGAAAAGGTAATATATCATTGGTCACTGGGAGTGGAGAATTGTCTTTGGGGGAGCCTGAGTTGGAAATGGCATTCAGGGTTGAAGCAGGTTCCCACTGCTAATGACTCTTACACCATGATGCTGCTGAAGCTGCTGCTGATGGTGGTGAGGTTGGTGATAGTCATTATCTTGTCATGCAGCAGTGGCCACATGGAGAGTAGGGGAGAGCAGTGGTGGTTATGGTAGTGGTTATTGTGGGCAACGTTGGTTGAGCATTTTTCTGTACTGAGAACTGGGCTAAGTGCTTTATATGGGTTGTTACTGTATCCTCACGACAATCCAGTGAAAGAGGCATTCTTATGAGCCTCCTTTAGAAAATGCCCCTTACCCATTTTTTACGTGGTTGTCTTCTCATGAAGTTGAGGTTTTCCCCTTAATATTAGGGAGAGTAACCTTTTTTTTATCCAAAGTGCCAATATTTTTCCTAATCTGTAGTTTACCCTCCGGTTCTCTAAATGTATTTTTTCATACTGTGTCTGTTGGGAGGAGTCTGTCTTGTCTTTTAGGGCCGTGGAGTTTCTGGTCTTTCTTAAAAAGATCTCTCTCATCCCACATAATGAAGTTTGTCAACAGAGCTGCCCTTACAAAACTTGGATGGGGGCCATGAAGTTTTATGCATCTGTCCCACCTTAGTTCCAAGGAGCACATCCTTAAGAAGCTTCTCAGAACTTGTAGGGTCCCCTAGAACACCATTTGATAGCCACAGTGCTGGGATATAATAAAAAGTAATTTAAAAAATTCTGTACCTCCTAAGTGAAAACTCTACCTCGAATGGTGGTTTAATTGTGCTAGATAGCCTGCAAAATAAATCTGTAGTCAGACCACTTCTTATCACTTGTCTGCACTGATAATACTCTGACACAAGCCATCATCATCTCTTGTCTCAATATTTACAACAGCATCCTCATTTGTTCCCTTCCCCTACCCTTGGCCTGTCTATTTTGATAACAGCCACCAGAGTGAGATTTTTTCAGTGCTAAGTCAAATCATATCATTTGTCTGCTGATTACCTTTCAGGGACTTCCCATTTCATGGCATGGAAGTCAGAGCCCTTATAAGAGCCTGGAAGGTCCTACACAGGCTCTGTTACTTACCTCATCTCATCTACGGCCTTCTGTTTTAGTTCACTCCAATGGCCACCTTGACTGCCTTGCTGTTCATTACACGTCGCAGCATCACACCTCAAGGCCTTTGCAGTTGCTTTTCCCAGCACTTGGAACGGTCTTTCTCCACGGAACTTTATGGCATACTTCCTCACCTCTTTTAGGCCTTCTAAATGAGGCCTACCTAGATCTTTCTGTTTAAAATTGCATATATTTCCAACTCCAACATTCCCCTTCTCCCTGATACTGTTTTATATCTCCACAGCATTTTACAACTTCCTACTATAGTACATAATTTGCCTACTGGTTAAATATCTTGCCTTTCTGACCTCCACTAGGATATATGCTTCTTGCATGCAGGAACTTTTACCTGTTTTGTCCGCTGCTTTATCCCCAGGTCCTCAGTAGGCACTCAAATGTGTTGGATGAACGAATGGGCTCTTGTGGTATCTGGCCTCCAAATGGTTCCAAGTGACCCTTTGTCACCTGGTATTCACTGCTCTGTATAGTCCCCTCTCTGAAGAGGGGATCCTAGTATTGATCCCAATGTGATTAATAGGAAATTACAAAACTAATGGAGACTGACTCTGGAGACTGATCAAATAAGAACTTGCAGCATTTGCTTTGGCTTCTGGACTTGCTTACTCTAGGGGAAGCAAACTACCATGTTGTGACATAACCCTGTGGGGAGGAAGTGAGGCTTCCTGCCAAGAAGCAGACCAGGTGGGCTGCTATATGAGTGAGTCACTTGGATGTCAATCCTTTAGTCCTGGTCAGTCCTTCAGATGATGCAGCCCCAATGGACATCTTGTGTGCAATGTCATAAGAGACCAGTGAGCTAAGCCCCTCCTGAATTCCTGACTCATAAGACCTGGAGAGACACTTAATGTTTTAAGCCACTAAGTTTTCAAGGTAATTTGTTGTGGAGCATTAATAACTACTAAAGAACCTCTGAATATAAACTTTCACAAAGTAACAAGTATCCTGCGAAGTTGTTTAAGTGGCATGGCCTCCCTTTTACATGGTTAATAAAGAGATAGGAAATCAAATGATTTATTTGAAGAAATTATCTTTTCTCTATTCCAAATTTTGGACCTCCATCCAGCCACCTCCCTCAAATATAGTTAAATCAGGTATAAGTAAACTTTATGTGATATATGAGAAAAATGAACTTGTGAAAAGGGAATATAATTGAATAGCAGTTAAAAATGGTTTCTAGGGATGCCTCAGTGGCTCAGTTGGTTAAGCGTCTGCCTTCGGCTCAGGTCATGATCCCAGGGTCCTGGGATCAAGCCCTGTGTTGGGTTCCCTGCTCAGCAAGGGAGCTGCTTCTCCCTCTGCCTGCCACTCCCCCTGCATGTGCACGCCCTCTCTCTGTCAAATAAATAAATAAAAATCTTTTTTAAAAAATGGTTTCTAAAGACAAACCATCTGGGGGCGCCTGGGTGGCTCAGTTGGTTAAGCGACTGCCTTCGGCTCAGGTCATGATCCTGGAGTCCCGGGATCGAGTCCCGCATCGG